CCTGTCTGTCTGCGCGTGCCTGTCTGTCTGCGCGTGCCTGTCTGTCTGCGCGTGCCTGTCTGTCTGCGTGTGCCTGTCTGTCTGCGTGTGCCTATCTGTCGGCGTGTGTCTGTCTGTTCGCGTGTGTCTGTCTGTCTGCGTGTGTGTCTCTGTCAGTCTTTTTTTAATAATAAACTTCATTTTACACACTCCCTTACAAGTAACACTTCATGCTTTCAAGTACGTCTAGAGTTGAGTTTTATAACAGTAAAGAATGTTTAACAAACCTTAAACATGAAATACATCAATATGAAAATACTTTAATCTGTGTCTGTCTGTGTGTCTGTCAGACTGAGACTGACAAGAGTGACTGACTGTCAGACAGTCAGTCAGTGTCTCTCTGTGTCTGTCTCTCTCTGTCTCTCACACACGCGTATGTGTATGCAGGGGGAGGAGGAATCAGTGGAGTAGGAAAAGTTGTGAAGTGCTTTCACATGTAGCCTGCTTTAATTACATGTTGGATCAAAGAAATGGAGAAACTGGAAAAGCTTCAAGCTTTGATCTTCACATTAAGTTGTTAACAATAATATTCAGTCTGACCATGACTACATTTCCATGTACTATTGCAATTTTCTGTTTCTTCTCATCTTTATCCCTCTCTACTTCTGCTTATTTTAAAATACTTTTTTCAAAATATTAATTTTTTATATCATTACATGCATGAAACAAATGACTTTTGGCAAGATTAAGCCTGGGCTTTTTTTTTTATCAACACTCATGGGTTGAAGCAAAAAAACAATTTACATTGTACAAAAATCAATAAATTCATTCATGAAATGTAATTTTTTTTTCTTCTATTTTGAATCATGTTTTACCTCTACTCATCATGGTTATCAAAAGAAGACAACATCATCATTCACCATTTAATGCGAAATAAGGTACTGTCATATTTTCAACATTTCTTAAAAAAATAATTTCAAGCAAATGTAATGGTATGTAAAATTCCCCATTTTTATATGATCATAGAAAATGTTTCATATACTCCACAACCCAAAATTACAATTTTTTCCCATTTTTTAGTTAGCTCATGCCAATTATATTTGCTTCTGAATGGGCTTTTCTCAAAATAAGAATAAATGGTTGAGTCACATGTCAAATACATTATTTACTTCTAGTGCAGTTGAAAAGATCTTGATCATCTTTTTGTAACACAAGTCAAACCAAGATAGGAGAAAGAGGAGTGAGGGAGAGGAGAGGAGAGGAGAGACCATGAGGGAGGGAGGGAGGTGAGAGAAGGGAAGGGAATGAGGGAGGGAGGGAGGGAGGTGGGGGAAGGGAAGAGAAGGGAAGGGAAGTGAGAGAAGGGAAGGGAATGAGGAAGAGAGAGAGAGAGAGGGACTTCCCTAAAGCCTGGTATACACGGTACAGTTTTCGTGCAGATTATCATAGTTTCTGTACAGAAACTTCAAGATCTGTAACTGGAGGTATAAAGGCTAAAAGTCGCGCATACACAGTCTGTATGTTTTCTGAATGAATTCTTTATGAATCACCACAAGATTCAGCTAGGGATCTACAGGGTAATAACTGAATTGCGTAATCCAAGTAGTTTCAATGGTGGCATTTCCGTGCAAGCTGTGAGAGCTTCATTAAGTCGTAATTAACCATGAGGAGCATAAAGAAAAACAGGAAGGCAGGAATAAAGAAGGTGGTCATTTATCATAATTCCACGTCACACAAAGCACCTTGACACACCTAACCACAAAATCGAAATTGCCAATTACCATGGCATCAGGTTAGTGAACGATTGTCACTAGAGGCACTTAATTCAAACTGAAAGCTTTTTGCACGAAAAATTACGAACATGCTCAAAAGCTTTCATGCAGAAATCGTGCAGTCTGAACTGCATGTTTTCTGTACGTCTAATCTACACAAAAACTGTACTGTGTATACCAGCTTAATATTTCTCTCAATTGGCATGGTCAGTGACTGACAAACAATTCAGTGTCAACTTAGGGGGTAGATTTTCTGACCATGACTTTCAGACAATAATTAATATTTTTCTCTCGTGGGCTTTTGCCGAATAGCTACCTACCATATGACGATTGCAATGGCGCCTATTCGGTGGAAGTTTGTACCAAAGCAGCAGGAGGCTGTGCGGAGGGAGCTACAACTCCCCCCACACGCAACTGCTCTAGTTGCAGCTCCAGGGCAGCGCGCTCCTCCTGCACCTCCGCCAACTCCTGGGCCAACTCCTGGCAGACACGTGCCAGAAGAGAGTTCTGCTCCTGCAGGCGGCGGAGCGCTTCTTGGGGCCTGTGCACACAGCCAAACTTGTTTATTACTCTTTACTGCCCTTCAAACGTAGCACAAAAGAAAGACGTTAAGTCAAAAGCAAGAAGGCAGCACTTACCTATGCCTGTGACAAGGCATGTCATCAGAAGGACTTTCTGTTCCCTGAAGGCCCAAACCAGCATCTGAACCCCCAACTCCTGTACAAATAACACGCCATTCAATCTGTATAATGCTGGAAAACATTTTGAGCCATCGGAAGATTCAAGAAAATTGTTTAAAATTACTTATGTTTCCTGGAAAATTTCGCAAAAACTACTCGTATTTGAATTAAACATAACCTTTTTTCAAGATCTGTTTTTGATGAACAGATTTAATTAAGGGAAAAAAATTATAACTTTAATATTGTAGAAATAGGAAGACGCCAAAAAAATTTTGAACTTTTGCAATTATCAAAAACTTAGGGAGTGCACCATTTTTACGTGTGTTTTGCTGCATCAGAAGAAAAAAGTTTGAGCCATTCTTGGAAAATGCCATGCATAACAGATAACATTCTCTATACTCCATTTATGAGAAAAAGACATTTATGCACTTCAATGACTTACGTGAAATTGGTTTCCGATACACCTCAAATGCACCATGTTTGCGTGGGTGACCAGCATCAGCATTGTCTTCCTCTTGCCCAAACTGCGCGAAATCAGCAAAGCCAGCATGATCTCCCACCAACGCAAGAACGTCCCCTTCACTTCTCTGCCCAATGAGCTTCTTGGGCGACGTCTATAGAGTTTTTAAATTAAACAATTCATATGAAATTATCACATTTGACTTTGTGTTAATTTGGTCTACTATTGTTGCTACAAAAATATGTATTAATAATAAACATTTTGCAGTTTTATTTATAAACAATAGAATTCTCCAGAAGGGTAACATGCTTTGAACAACAGAGTCCTGTAATACAGAACAAACAGCCTATGAATGAGCAACAGCCTAAAAGAGGGAATATTTACTTTTGAAAAAATACATGGGAAGTGAGCACTTCATCGAGGCGAATTTCAGCATGTTTTACTGTATTGCTAGAGGATTATCACTCACACGATGAAGTTGTCAGTAATCAGGCACAACACTCAGACCCCACAAACATGTTTGAGGAAACATTTCTGCCAGAAAAACTACTTAGGCAAAAGATTGCAAAAAGGTGTTACACTCACCGTACTGGGAGAGATGCGAGGTGGCACAACAGGTGGGGTGCCTAGGAGCACAGCATTCTTTCCTGTAAGCACATCATCTGCTCACTAAGGGAACAGATCCACACGGGGCCCAACAGAGTTTTCTTTTAGGAAAGGAGGCAACAACAGGGTCTGATCAGGGTACAAAATGATTTTCTCACATGTTCTAAAACAATTTAGCATTCCTAAGACTACAACGCTTGGCAAAATGGATCCTTGTAGCAGTTGGGCTCGAACACCAGCTGTTAATGACTTTCAAGTGTCAGGTCAGCGTTTATTGTACGAAGTTAGGGATGCTTTTCAAAAGGGATTTACATTGTTCCAATATAAGTCACCAAAAAGAATATTGTAAGAACTGATATATATCACAGGCAAAAGGAGATGACAATATGTATGCACATGAATTTTCATCAAATGAAGGTAAATGGCTGTAAATACCAAAATCAAAAACTCTGCGTTGTTTACTTTCATCATACTTTCCCTCTCACATTGACTCATAGAACAGTTTCAAGGCCGAAGAATGATCCAAACCCACCCAAGGAACCATACGGTAATAACTTATAACAAGTTAGCTTTTGAGCCCAAGGTACATGAGCCCATGTTCACATCTGTTGGTTTTTGTTACCAGCCATAGCACTGAAACTAGGCCACGCCAGGTATGTAGACAAATGACGTATGTTTTGATATGTTCTGTGATTAGATCTATGGCTATGCAACATGTTTAAAAATACTGAAAATGAAACACAAAACTTTCAAAATCAAAGAAATATTATCGAAAAATGAAAGTAAGAAAGTGAGAATTAAGCATCGCAGTGTCATTGAATGAAGCAAGTAAAACCACAAGCAAAGGGAATAATTTTTTTTTTTAATAAGTACAATAAATAAAATAAAATTGGAAAAACATAGACTAATAAATAACTGCATTATAATCCAAAATATACAAACGAACCCAGACTAATGACAATTCCTGTCATCAGAATACAAGGACTGAATCAATTAAAACCACAATAGATTGAATTTTAATCATAGAATATTACTCAAAAAGGAAGTTTTAAAGTTACGTTTTCTTGCATTCTAGTTACAAAAACACACTCATACCATGCGAACATTCATCAGTTGTTACACAATGTTTTGGAAATGAAAGCTTTTTTCAAGTGTTCCTAACCAACCACATTCCCCAATTCCATTTGGCATTAATGACTCAACAGATAATGTGTTGTATTGTCGCGGTGATCAAGACCAGTGAAATCACTCTGTTGCAACTCCAGCTGTCGACGCCTAGCTGTGCCCCAAAGCAGTACATGTGCACATCATCCCCAGCGAGGGGCTCCACCCACCCAGGCGGTTGAGATCCAGAGACGAACTTCTCGTGTGAGTACGATACGGGCGTGGCGGTGGGGGCGGTGGAGGTTCCTTCTTGGGTCCCATCTGGGCACCAGCAGTCGCAGCAGCTGCTGGCAGGCTGGTTGGGCCAGAACCAGATGCTCCTCCCATCCTGCAACAGGATATCTCACTTGTACCAGAGAAACTTACAAATAAACAAATAAATTGTACAAAATACTTATTCAAAATCGTGTTACAGGCTAATACTAAATGAGTAATCAATTTATTGTACATAGTGAATAAGAAAAATCCTTTTGTTTCAGCCCTGCTGAAGGCTTAATAGAAGCAGAAACATTGGCAATTTAAATAAGTTTGTTTACTGACCGAAACTCAAGAAAATTCCATATACACATATTGAATTGAATTGAATTAATGCCTTATTTTACGTGGCGAGACTCGGGCCATTAGGCCCGCTCTTCCGTCTGACCACGCAAATTTCGCTATGCTCCTTTCACGAACTAGCAGAGAAAGGAGGTAATTCTTGGGAGAGAAACAGGTGATTTGAATTAGGCTCAGAGGCGTCATTTAGGCTTGAGGATCTTTTACATGCAAGTAAATCTACTAACATGGGACAGCTGGCTTTACTTCCCCTCTGAAGGAAGGCGTACAAAGGATTTTTCGCCCTTAAAAATCCACGGCTTTGATCGGGTACAACAGTCAACTTGGGTACAACAGTCCGAAACGCTAACCGTTACACCATCGACGCACGCTCGATGACATACAAGTAAATCATCAGTACTAAGACATTAGGGGGATATTCATGGAGAATTTTATCGATCAATTTGATGAATTTATGGTTAGATTTCCGAAATTGTACAGAGAAATCAGTTTGTTAGGGAACTGTAGAAACTAATAAAGTTGTATGATAAATCATGGCAATAATTTGAAGCGATAAGTTTTTGTTGATGGACATAAACCCTACTATGTGTCTGAGCTTGTTTGTGTTTGTGGTCGTATAAAAAATGGTGAGCAAGTAGTTTATTACAATTTTACTTATGTTATATCGTAATAATCTGTGTTTATGGAAAATTCAAATCTATTTCAGTAGACATGTTTTGATCCATTTTGAATGATTACTTGTTCTTCTTTTTATTTCTATGTACCCCATCATTCCAATAAGTAACACAGCAGTTTCATTGATGTTCAACTTTTATAATCCACAAATTCAAACTCAATTTCACCGTTTAAATGATCATATTTTATAAAATGAGAAAAGATCTTGGATCACAGTTAAAAATTAAAAAAAAAAAAAAATATTTTAAAATTCAAACAAATAAAAAGAGGAATCTTAATGTTGACAATATAGATAAATTTTGGGAAATTACAAACTCTTTAAAAGGAACAAATTGTTTGACAACAGGCAAAACAGCTGAAACAGGTGATGAAATTGTAAAATTATTTGCCAACTATTTCAAATCTGTTTATAGTATACAAATAATTGATCATGAAATTGAATATTATGTAAATTCAATGATAAACATAGTGAATGTTCAAATATGTCAAATAGATTTATTTAATGAAATGAATCTTGATGGAAGAACAGATCCAGGCGCCGATAATATTCCACTGTCCTTTTAAAAAAAGTGTATTGTGAACATCATACAGATTCTTCATGCCTTATTCACTAAATCATTAGAGGAAGGAGTAATTCCAATGATAAGGAGGAGTTATATTACCTCAATTTTTAAATCAAACGACAGATCAAAAATCGAGTATAATTTCAAAAATATTAGAATCTTTAATAACACACATACTGACATCAAAACTAAACTCAATATTGTTAAATGAACAACATGGTTTTAAAAAGAAAAGATCAATAACTACTAACCTATTGACTCTAAAAAGTTATATTCTTAAAAAGTTTGTGACAAACTCACAAACTGATGTGAGATATACAGATTAGCCTATGCCACCTAAAACATCAGGCCTATAGGCCGGCTTATATATCTTGCTTCTGATGTCAACTTGTAGTCATAACATTACATTTGGTCAAAAGTGTTGGTCTACGTGTGCATCAGTGTGAACTTCTAATGTCGTGTATAGAATTACATGAGCAGTGTTTTTATTCATTTTATGGTGTAATAATATCTATGCTTTAAATTAGTGCTAACAGGACATATTTATAGCAGAGCAATTTTGATACAGAGTACTTGTAACAAATTGTCAAAACGTCACAAGTTCGGGTTACGTGAAGTTGCCGTGTACTTCTACATTGAAATTGGTTTCTACAAAATTCAATACCTTAAAAGTGGAGAAAAATCCAGAGTATGCATTGTAGTACATAAGAATGGAATTCAGTTTGTCGAATGAAAATGACAAGACTGTAGTTCACTTAATTGATGAAATATTCTTGATTAAGAACTTCGTCAACCACTTGTGAGTTCATGGTAACTAGTATGAGTTCATCACATAAAAATTTAGTTCTTAAATTTCCGGTCAGAAAGTTGACAGGTGTGTTGCTAAACCACTATATCAGAACCATAATTGTAGGGCAGGAAAATATTGGTTTTAAAGTGATTGCAGTGATTTCTGACAACAATCCTGTGAAACGAAAAGGCGCGAAATGTTTTCTGGTCCTCCAAAACTAGGAATACCTTATGAATGTCCATGTGAATTTCACAGAAAATTCCTTTTTTTCATTTGACAGTGTGTACCTCTCAAAGTGCTTAAAAAACTGGTTAAATCATGATAAACATGAAATTAATTTTCCTAATATGGAAAATGGTGTTATGCATGCAGCAGGATCATTTAGTTGCGTCATTAGTGCGGCATTGTGACGCACAATAATTTTAAATATGGCAATTCTTTAAATTTAAAATCGTTCATCTCTTTTCTGTTACAATTAACTGTTAATTGAATGAAATATAATCACATGCGGAGAATTTTTTTAGTAAAGTAAGAGGCGGCCAAGAAGGTAAGTAAACGATAACTGACAGTGTGCAGCTGGTGAAAGATTCATTGGCCGCAATTACTACCCATGTGACGTCACAGCAGCAGTCGAGTGGCCTTATCTAGGTGGCATTGGAATTTGCATAAGCCTTTGATACTGTAAACCATGAAATTTTATTACAGGAATTTGGATATATTTAATTTCATGGATTTTTGTTGAAATTGTTGAGAAGTTATCTGATTGGTAGAATTAAAAATGTTAAAAGTTTTATCTCAAATTATGTTGTAACACCATCAGGTGTCCTTCAAGGCTCACATTGTTATTTTTACTATACATAATTGATATTAAATCAGCTCTTCCATCTTGTTTTTTTTTTTTTTTTTCATTTTGCAGACAATTTAAAATTATTTTGAAAATAAAATCATGAGATGATTGTAAAATTCTTCAAGAAAACCTGAATGTGATACTTCAATGGTGTAAAAATAATTAACTTGTCTTGAATATTCAAAAATGTAAAATGAGATATACAAAGTCTAGAAATTTAATTACATCCTCTTATTTGAGAAACAGGCAAGTATTACAAATGGTCATGAAAATTAAAGATCTGAGTGTGATTTTTTACCAAAAACTAAAATTCAATCAACTTATCGATTTCATTGTTACAAAAGCAAATAGTATGCTTGGTTTTCTTACAAGAACGACTACATATTTTACAAAAACTTCACCTGTATGGTCTCCTTTACATGATGTTCATAGTAATAAATTAGAAACAGTACAACATATTTTTTTATTTGTAGCTAGGAAATTTAAATTACAGTCACCATGTACATCTCACGATTAAAGTAAAATTGCCACAATGTTAAATATTAGTACATTAAAGTCACATAGGTATTACAATGATATCTTATTTATATATGATATATTGAAAAACAACATTGACTGTCCTGATCCCAAATCTCATAGAAAATGCCAGTTCAAAATCTACATTTGAATACCATCAGAAAAAACAAATACATATTGTAATGGGACGGTTGCACATTTCAGACGGCGAATTAAATATTTTTTTAAATAAGGAACCGGCTTGCGTGAAGGGCAGCCTGAAATGCGCCGTTTCCTGCGATACCTGGGAGGGTCACTAAGCGCGCCGAGGGAACGGAGGAATGCACCTCCTTTGTTCAGCGCAACCCACGCCGCCCGCCCCTCGTGACGCATGGGGAAATACGCCTCCCGCACCCCCAAACCGAGCAACGGAATTACCCGCGCCCTGTTCTTAGAATTTACGTGACGGAGGTTACTTCGGAGAAAGTTGCCGGGGCGCAGCTTTGCCGCTGGCGCCGTGATCGCGATCGCTCCGCCGATGGCGGAGGAACCGCGGGTGCCGCGACGACCAATTGCGCGTGAGACGCGGGGGAGAGGTCACGTGACACGCGAGCGTTCCTGGGGGATCGCCGAAAGGTGAATCGATCACTAGTTTCGGAGGCAGCAGGGAGAGCACTTGTTTGTGAGGCAGCAGGGAGAGCACTTGTTTGTGAGGCAGCAGGGAGAGCACTTGTTTTCGGTGGCAGCGGGGAAGGCCCTTGTTACTTTGATTCGGAGCCGGGGTTATCCGTGCCTGGTCGCCCCGAATGCCACATCGCAGCCCGACTCGCGTGACGGAAGCAGAACTATGGGTCAGGACACCACATGTGAGTGCCTGACCGCAAGAGCAAAGTAAGTACGAGCCGGGGCGTGAAAGACGCGACCACGAAGCGACCCGCCGCCGCCCGCGCTGAGCAACGCCGAGGCGCCGTCCGGTCGACGCACGCCGCTGGCCTAATCCGTTGACTGTGGGCCGCAGCCGCGAGGAACCTGGGGCAAGCACCGACCGTGGCTGCCCGCCGCCAGACCTGCCGGACGCCCGGGAGGGCGAAAACCACGGAGCTGATATGAACTCTGGCCATGCCGGCCTTTTTTTAAGTTAAGAATAGATTGTAAGTTTTGATCTGGCATTGGGATTCACACGCACTGCGCACGCAATTCAATAGTGATTAAAGTAATATTAAGAAATTGCTTCAGTCTTTCTCTCCAGTAATTAGGCAATCACTTATCCCTCCCTCTAGGGAGTCTGCCGACGAAGCAGCCGGGCAAAGCTGAATCACTGAAGGAAATCAGGTAATCGGGTGAGTCGGTGGTTACAATATTTGCATGCTCCTCTATTAAGAATAAGCACGTGTACAGAGCAGCAAATTCAATCAACATGCATCTTGATACACCCAAAAACGACTTCACAGTAGAAGTGAAAAATGCAATATTAAATGATTTTGCTAAAAATTTATTATAATATACACTAAAATAATTACATTATTAGTCATGTTATTATGTATATGTTTTGTGTATAATAGTAATAATAGTAAAATGATATGTAAATTGGGTGATTGTTTTAAATAAAAAATAAATAAAATTGCTTAGATTTGACCAAGTAATTGGTACAAACATAACGTGTAAGTAAATTGGTTCGTTTAATTAGAGAAGATATGTTGGTTCAATAAAACACTGTGTTAAAAGACCATGTACGATTTAACAGAGATTTATGTTAGCAATTTACCAAATTATTATTGGGGGCAATTTATCACAACAATAAATTGTTCCGTGTATATCCCCCAATTAAAATAAAACTGTGAAATCACTAAGAATGCAAGATGTATATTTTCCCTCCCATCTCACAATTTTTCATTGCTTTTTTTTTATGTATGAATAACTATCAGTTGCAACTGAATGTTCACAATAAATAAATAAATTCCACAGTAGCCATTGCAATACTTCAGAATTGTCTTTGACAAGTGCCAACAAGAAGTATGTCTCACCCAGGTCCTTGGCTCGCGACGACTTCCTCCGAGATGGTGGCTGTGGAAGGAGCAGGGGGTGGCGGAATCGCCCCAGGGCCTGGCGCTGCAACAGAAAGGGCCAATAGCTCAGACAATATGCTGAAAGGTAAGGAACCTAACTACTTCAAAATTACCGCTTCCAAGAGGCTCAGCAAAGCCTATGAAGGGGAGAATCAAAACTGGACTTTCTCAACCACTAGTGCTGTTCACACATAAGATACACAAATGAATGAACGGATAGATGATTTGCAACAAACTAATTTTTCAGATCAAGAAACCACCAAATATTGATTCTGGATTCACAATGTGTTTGAGAAAGTAATTTTACTACATAAAGGAACAAGATTTATCCATTTTTTCAGTCTTTTCCTGCAGATTTACAAATCTTTCTCTAAGCAGTATGCAAGAAAGTAAATATCATAGCACTCCCATTGGTTTTTAGACATTTATTAAGAGGCAGGAACTTCCTTGGCTCCAGGGAATGGATACTTGATGAGCCCTGGGTTAATTATACAGAACATTCTTTTGACAAGTTTCTTTTGTAGAAATTGGATGGCAATAAAGAAAAAATATAAAAAACAAACAATCTTTCTCTTCTGCAACTCTAAGACAGGACATTGAACAGAACTCTGATTGCCAACAACTGACATCGAAAGTATAGTGCTGGAGTAGAACGCACAACCTCAGTCCAACATTAATGGCTATATATTAGTTCTGCAAATGTTCAGAGTATAGACATAACTCACCAGCTGGCTTCTTGGGCTGTGGTCGCTGGATGGGGCGTAGATCGGAGGGTAGGGCTGCAGGAGTCCCTATGGCCTCTGCCCCCGAGGCCACCAGCCCCTTCTTCGGTGAACCCTCACCACCCAGTTGCTCATACGGAATGGGCTGAGGTTCCACCAGTTTGCGAGGCGAACGGCAGGGTTCTCCCTCCTCCCCTGCCGGTAACGACTCTGGTGTCAAACGCAGAGGCACCGGATGCAAGATCTTCGGATCCTGCAAACCATTATCATCCCTTCTCAACAATCATCAAAGAAATGCAATGGAAGTAAATACATGAAAAATTGTTTTAAAAATTGGTTGGACTCATATGAAAAGAGAAGTTGCTCAAATGGCCTAGTTATAAGTTTGTATTATTTAAGATATCTTGAGAATAAAAGTTGTTGTAAAGCAATGAAATTTAACATTTTCCTACGAGACATTTCCTCTAAAGAACCTTAGACAACGAGAGCTAGTTTATATATCTTATTTTTAACAAGTAAATGGATTCAAATGAAAGCATGTTGAGTGAAGCATTCACCAGCAAGTTAAATGAAGCTAAATATTGATTCAGCATTAGATTTTAGATTTCTGATTCAAGAACAGCTTACATCAGCACCACTTGGAACTGCACACTTTACATGCCACTCAAAGCACAATAGTCATTTGCATCTTCCATAGATACCTGTTCTACAGCAGATTTATGGAAATCAAAGTTGACAGGCTTTGGACCAGGAGAAGACACAGAGCTAGTGGGTGAATCCACAAATTTTGTCCACTGCAAACAAAATCACTCCATTAATTAATCCAATTTTTAAATATCCTTTTTTTAAATTAATTAATTTAAGAAATGATTTATTATTTTTTTTATTTTCCATTTTTGTATTTATTTACAGTACCAAGGACAAACAGCTAAGCTGACAATGTCTCTGCTCATTATGTAGTTCAAATTGCACATACCAATATCATTATAATAGTATTTCAAACTTATCCAATAATAAACATCAGATCAGACCAAAAACTATAAAAATATACATCAGTAAAATGTAAAGTTTTATAGTAAAAATTAAAATAATTATTTTACTATAAATTACAATATTGACTGAAATATGTAGGATATCAGAGATGAAACTTAGAACAAATTTTGCATAATAAAAGGGAAGAAGAAAACAAGCGGTACAGGGATATAGATATAACTCCACTTTTACATTCCTAGGATTTACATTTTCCTCTAGTTTATACCAATTTTTACCAGTCCTTTCAATTTTCCATGTTCATAATCAAATTAGATCTTACTACCTTTTAGATTTTTTGAAGCAATTTTTGTAAATAAAATTTTTTCATGATATTTTTGCTTTCACTCATAAGCATTCTCTCTTGCAAAGAGATTTATTTTCGCTGATACAAATTCAGACCAAGTGAAGTGCAAGTGAAATTGTAGTGTGCATTTATCTCTACAGCATCAGGAGGCATCTCGAAGCAGTGTAGTTAAATGTTGCTTGTCATAGTTTTGTGTTTTTGTGAGAAAGTTTTAGTGTGTTTTTTGACCTCTAATGGATTTAAAAAGAATGAAAGAGTCTTCCTATTAAAAAAAATTCGAAATTCTAGAGGAAGTTAAACTGCAGAGCATAAAGAAATGGTTTGCACTAGCTAAAAACTTGGGGATATCAGTATCCACTTGAAATATTATAGTAATAAAAAACAACTCAATTTACAGTGCAGATAAATGTCAACAGTTTTGTAAGAAGAAAAAGTATGCTAGTTATTCCAAATATGTAGTCTGAGAACCGTTTCCAAACAGCATGTGCTTTGAATATTCTCACATGTGGCAAGCAGTAATGACAAAAGCACAGAATGTAAGTTTGCCATTGAGAACTTCCCTGTGATTGATGGCTAGATTAATCAATTAAAAAAGCATTACAATTTTATCTCTAAGGTTGTTGTGGAGAAGGAAATGTTGAGCCAGATGAAAGTGTTTGGGAATGACAAGAGGTGAATCAAAGAAGTAAGCACCCATGGACATTTCCATCATAGTTGAAACAGGCCAATTTTTTGAAATTCTTCCAAAAAAGAAAAATACTTCACCTTTATAGACAAGAACTGTCATGGAGACAACCAACCAGAAGTACAAAATTAAATATTTCATATTCAGATACATCTGAAATATTAGTCTAAAAGTCACTGAATTCCTCTAAGGGTTTCCAAGAAAAGAAAAAAAAAAAAGGTTGAGACTGCTAATGTATATGTTTACAATAGGCAAAAATAGTGTCATGCCCATCATCTAAAGCAATTTCCGAACCTCTTTGCTGCGAGGGGGCGAAGCAGACTCTCCGCCGAGAGGTGACAAGGATGGAGGGCTTTCTTCGTGAGGAGGGATCTCTGGAGGGGCAACCACAGGGGGCGGCGCATGAGCAGGAGGGCCCCCTGAGCTCCCTTGGGCAGCCGCAGGCACATTTGGAACCAGCGAGGGAGGCAGAGCATCTGGGAGGTCGATGTTGTTCCTCCGAAGGACCACCAGGTGCATAGCAGTGTTAAATTCCTCCAAGGAGAGGGCACCATCCTTTGTCACATCTGCAAGTTGCCTGCACAGAAAAGGAGCATCGGCGCCTCTAAAGAGACAGCTGATAATGTTGCTGCTCACATCACCCACCAAAACTCAATATTAAGACTTCACTCAAACGTTTGAGATATAACTCATAAATATATATTTTATCATAAAAAATATTCTCTTTAGATTATAACACTTCAGTGAAATTAAGCACTTACAATGAGAGATTTTTTTATTTATTATTATTATTATTATTATTATTATTATTATTATTATTATTATTATTATTATCATCATCATCATCATTATCATTATCATCATTATTATTATTATCCAACAGGCATATAATGCCTAAATACATTTCATATATACATAGGTTTATACGCTCTTGAAGATTACAAAATATTCGTCTGTCATAAAAAAGTATTGTCAATTGTTGCATATCTATCCAGTGAAATCTAATATGAGTTGTTTGACATTTTAGCTATTGACGTTGTTATTTCGAGTCAAATCAATTTCATTCATATACGTATTGGTGATTCTGGCTAAACGTGTATAGCAGAATTATAGAATAGTCGGTTCAACAGTCAAATTCTCTCAGTAGAGTAGATTTTCGCATTGTGTATGGATAGTCATACAATTGATACATATTTCGAAGTGATGTACTTTTAATTTTTCCATTCAATAATTTATTCATAAATAACACGTCGTGTACTATTCTCGAGGATGACAAAGTTGGTATTTGCAAGTAGCTAGATATTTCACTGTAGTCATGATTATACCTCGGATTAGGTTTTTTTAATTTAAAAGCTACATAAGAGAAGAATAAATGTTGACTTGTTCTATCTTTTTGCTAAGATATTCAGCATTTGGTGACCAGACTGAAGAACAATACATCAATTTTGATTTGACAAGGGAATTATAAAGAGTTTTAATTGTTTTCATTGATTTAAATTTACCAGTTTGTCTTTTAATAAATCCAAGTTTTTTCAGTGAAGCATTGACGATGTAATCAATGTGTTTATAAAAAGACATTTTGGTATCCATGATTACTCCCAGATCTTTAATATGTGGAACAGATTCAATTATTGTATTTTGAATACTATAATCTACTGTTACTTCAGTATGGCCACGATTACAACGAAGTAGTTTACATTTGTTTGTATTTAGTTCAAGTTTGTTTTCGTTACACCATGATATCATTTGATTTAGGTCATCTTGAAGTAAACTAGCATCATTAAGATCAGATATTTTACGCCAAATTTTGCAATCATCAGCAAAAAGATTTAATGAAGTGTTTTTAAGAATTGTGACTATGGCTCGATTCTCACATGTGTTATTATTAAAGTTGTGACATAAGCCCAAAATGTAGCTAATTCAGAAATTAGCTGGTTAATTCACACATTAATCAGATAGTTTCGATAAAGCTGTATGAAGAATGACTAAATCATCCAGCTCATGGTGCCTAAAATAAGCTGATAAACCATATGAGAAGTATCTTGTGGGTTTGAAAGAAAATAAGACACATTGAAAATTATACATTGCACAGATTCAAGGTTGTTTTACATACATCATGAAGACCAAAAGCTGTTGGAGCTTCACTGCCCCAAATCGAAAATACGCAATAAAACCAACTGAGGTATATAATGAGATTAGGATATGGTTAAGTGGTATCACCTAACTAGAAATTTACAACTGGCAAACTGCAACTTAAGACTATATACCTTGCCTTTCATTGATCTTAGAAAATTCCCATCAGTAGTCCAATTTCTGCATGTTTGCTATTCCTCAATATTGTATTGATCTTTACTACCCCACGCACCTCATGATGACTAATGTTCACATTTGTAGATTATCCAAAATGGGTAGGTAAAGTTCAAAGTATGATAATCTTTGAACTTTACCTACCCATTTTGGATAATGTACAAATTAACCAGCAAATTCATGTATTAGTCAGATTCAGAAATTAATCATAATATCTAATCTATATTTGGCATGTCATTATATTCATAAATAATCTACAATGACATAATCCCTAGAAAATAAAATTATCCACTGTTTTTAATTAAAATTTTATTCACCTAATGACAGCAATGATACCCAAAATACAAAAAGATGGTTGTAAGAATCAAACGGCTTAACTAACTCAGCTTGCCTTTCTGCAAGTTTTCAATAAACCAATTTGAATGGCAACCACACAATGGTATTGGCCTTGTGTGAAGATTGTAGTCTCCAAAGGTACAACAGTCTCCCTTACAATACAATAGTATTGTCCAGCCCACATTTGAAGAAAATGCAATTGGACATAAACAAATCGCAGAAGGACTGGCCCTTTTACAGTCAACTTACCAAATCTTGCGCAATTCATGGACTGGTAGTCGTGACTTTTCAAAGAACAGCCGGGCCACAGGGCCAGCAATGAGGCCCGCGGGGTCTGGCTGCAGAGAGCGGAACTGCGCAGAGTAATACTCCCTCTGTTCATCTGTGATGAGCCACACCTCAGCCTCTGCATCTGGGTCTCCTTCTCCCTCCTCCTCGCTTGAGTGGCGATCTGACGATTCCTCCTCCGTGCCAAGAAGCTGACGTTGTTCTTCACACACTGCACAAAAATCCATCAGCACTCTACAGGCTCAAGGCCCTCCAGTGTCATTACATCTGCAATGACAGCTGCTTAGAATATCTCTCACCACAAAAAGTATTATCTCCTCTCTACCACTTTGAACCTTGGAGGTTGTTTGGAAATTTAATTCATTAGTTTTTATATAATTTAAATTGGGCAATTACGTCCAACTTACAATCATATTCAAAATTAAGATAGTTTTTGTTCTAATATTAGTGTTTTGTGTATTATTTCATCAGGTATTATTTACTTGGGTACCTCAACGATTCTTAATGCCCTTCATTCATTTCTAGCTGATGATATAATTATTTCTGCAACAAGTACAGAAAAGGAGTCTGTGTACAAATGAAATTTGAGGGACAAGGTGACACAGAAGCAGTCAGACATTCTGAAATGAGTATTAAAAACACTTTTGAACTAGTTGTGAACATTATTTTAAATACAAATTCATAGTAATACCAATTCATTTTGTTTACTCTGGTGATCATTCAAAAAAAAGCAAGACTGCAGCCATATACAATCATGTCACCCCAGGGTTATGTTTATTTGGTTGAATTATTATTATTTACACAGTGATATAAATCCTGCAAAATGCTACTTTGCTGTGAGCATTTTGCAAATAACACTTTGCAATCAAATTAACAAAAGAATTGGTTTCTATGCACAAGTGCTGTACAGATAATTAAAAAATTGTATACACATACACCCTAAAACATAGCGTGCATATGCTTAAAAGATCTTCCCAAATGTGAATTTCCATTCTTCAATCAATCTTCAAAAGTTTGTGCATTAAATTGCCAGATTGTAAATGTGTTGATAATTTGAGAGTCACCTTGTAAGAGGCTGATAAGATATATGCCACCAATGCTTCATTACCAAGTTTGGTGTTCATCTTTCACTGAAAGTTTGTAATTTACTGCCTCCTGCTGCAAACTCTCTTGTGGGTTGGTGGAGAATAAGACGTACGTAGGATCAACACAAAGAATTAAAACAGTACTGACCATCTTCACAAACATTACAAATAATGTTAATCTGAATAAAGAATGAATACAGTCGCTTCCTAACTGCCGTGGTGGTCAGACGCTCCGTCCGCTCGGGGCAAAATCACGTTGTGCATGCGTTCACTGACTCGGTGCTTGTCAGTCAGTTACATGTAAAACGTGATAGAAGTTAAGTTATTCTTAAGTAATGCGATATTGCTTAACTACATGAAAAGTTGTTTTTTTTCGTAACCATCATGGAGCCCACTCAAGTTCATCAATCTTCAGGAAACCAGAACAGTAAGGATACAATTAATTATGCTACAGCAATCTCTTTCCCAAGAAAGAAAATGCTATCATCAGAGATTTGGGAAATCGTGCGCCAATTGTTGAATTTATTGAAAAGTTATCTTCTAAAGTGAACCCATCTCATATCAAGTCTGCATAAAAAATATCGAAAAACAGACTGTGTTTATCTATCCAGTATGGAAATTGCAGATGATCTAGTCTTCAATCATGAAAACATTGTTGTGTCTAATCAAGTCTTCCCTATTAATTTCTAGGAACAAACGAATTATTCTCTCAAATGTTTGTCCAAGTATCCCTCATCAAGTGATAGAAGAAAAATTATTAACTTTCGATGTTAGAACTGTAGTACTGTTAACTTTCTATCGCGCTGGATTTAATAACCCCCAGTTGAGCCACGTCCTCAGTTTTCGTCATCAAACATTTATTTTACCTGATGATGAGCATAAATTACCTGAATTATTTCAAGTATTTATTGATGATGTCCCCCACTGGATATATGTAACTCCTGGTGTTCCTATTTGTTTTTTATGTAAAAATCAGGGCTGTATTGCTAAAAACTGCCCAAATCAATGTTATTCCCAATTATCTGATACCCTACCTCTCCCTCCAGCAGTAGAAATCACAGAATCAACTAATGAGATTATTGTTAATTCTAATCTTCCTCCCAAAGTATTTGAACCAACACTTCCCGAAAGCGATAAGGTGAATGAAAATTCTAGCCTTAACCTTGCCCTTGACAGCTTTCCCTCGCTACCTACCACCCCTCCTCTTGAGTCGGCTGTGAGAAACCCCACTGCCTCGAAAGGAAACTCAATGGAAATTGACCTTGCTGCAACCCTGGAAGGTTGAAGAGACTTATCTACTGTAAGCTTGAATACAGAAATGGTTAGCAACCAATCAGAGAGCGACAATGAACTCCCAGACAGTAATTCAGAAACCTGACATGGAAAAGAAAACTTCTGAAACTAAAGAAAAAATAAAGGAACAACCCTCCAAAAATAAGAAAAATGCTAAAACCTCTACTGAAAATGTTGATGATCAGTCGTGGTCCAATATTAAAACAATCTTAGATTCTCCTACTGCTCACTACCCACTAAATATACATCAACTCCAATGTTTCATTGACAGAACGAAGGGTAATAACTGCACTACAGCAATTGCCAGAGAATTCACAGATGATTTTACTGCTTTAACAGCAATGTTAAGAGCTGTTCACAAATACTTACCGAACAGGGGTGTGAAAAATAGATGCTCAAGAATCACCAAAAAACTTGATGCAGATATGAATGAAAAACCTTATGCTAGAGGAGATTCAGAAGAGCAGTGATCTAACCTCCTCCATTATTGTCATTCTAGCTGAAGTTAGTATAAAATAAACAAATTCAGCTATTTACAATGGACGTTATTCAATGGAATTGTAATGTTTTTTTGCAAGAAAACCATTCATAAAGCTTCTCATTAACAAACTCAAACCAAAAATAATTTGCTTCCAAGAAACAAACTTTAAATTTCAAAATTGTGGCTCATTGTTTGGATACAGTTCTACATGTTGTAATAGAAATAATTCCAATATTGCCAGTGGTGGCGTTGCAGTTTATACTAAACCAGCATTTTTCTTACATAATGTTTCTCTTCAAACGCAACTGGAAGCGACTGCAGTTAGAATTAAAATTAACTTCACTGTCACAATTTGTAACTTATATTTACGGTAAATAAATAAAGATATTGTCTGGTATCAATACTTTTTATTCAGCTTATGATCATTTTGATCGCGTAGCGATCATCCTCAGAGCTAAAATGTGAAATACAAATATCATTAACAGGTTGTAGTTATTGTATGCAAGATGCGTAAGCAAACTGGGTCGTACATACCTTGCAGCTTCTGGGCCGAAAACAAAGTTCTGCGAATTTTGAGCGTGTGTCTTGTTTAAGAACACAGCCGGTCGGCAACGGGAGGGGGCGGGAAGAGGGGTGGGGTGCGGGTGAAGAGTTGTAAACCGCGGGGGTGCTGGTGGAGGCTTGAGAGACAATATCTTTATTTATTTATCATAATAAAAAGGTATCTACCTGACCAGCGATTCAATTAATTAATAATATTTACCAATATAAACATCACTGAACTTTATGATAATGTTAAGCAACTTCCAAAACCATTTATCATCATGGGAGATTTTAATAGCTACAATGTACTGTGAGGATCTTCTAGTACAGATCAAAGGGGCAGAATTATTGAGGAATGGCTTGACAAGAATGATAATAATATTCTTCATAATACAGGCAATGATACCTATTTTTCTTCTAGATATGCAAAAGGTAGTGTGATTGATTTGACATTTTCATCCAATGACATTAGAACTTGTATTTCTTGGTTTTCTAGTAATGATCTTCATGACAGCGGTCATTACCCATTGTTTATTCACCTCTCTGATATTCAACCATACTCTATTACACGCATTCATCAGAAGTGGATTAGTACCGACGCTAACTGGACCTTATTTCAATCATATGTCGATAATAACATCAACAAACTTCCCAATATAAATGAGTGGGCACCAGATCAGACTAACCAAATCATCCAAGCCTTTACAGGCTTAATTGATTCAGCTGCTCACCCGGCAGTCCCTAAATCTTCGGGTAATATCCAGAACCGTCAAGTCCCATGGTGGAATGAAAATTGCACATTAGCCATCAAAGAAAAGAAGAAAGCATTTAGAAAATATAAGAAATATAAATCGATAGAACTGGGCATATTATATAAGAAAGCTAGAGCTAAAGCCCGCTTAACTCTTAACCATACTATGCTAGAATCTTTTAAAGATTTTACATCTTCTATTATGGGTCAAACACCATTCGCAACTATGAGGCATAAAATAAAATCAATTAGCGGCTCTTATTCAACTAGCTTACCTCTAATATTAGATGACAACGGAATAAAATACAGGGGTTCTCAAGACATCTGCAATGCTCTGGCAGATTCATTCACCAACAATTCCAGCAATAATAACTATGATCCATCCTTTCATAAATTAATTCTGTCTATATCCCTAGCCACTCAAAAAAAGCATCCAAAACCTCCTAAGTAACAACAATGATTCATTTAACTGTGAATTCCTGATGGATGATCTCCTTCATGTTTTAAAAAATAGTAAAAACTCTGCACCAGGTCCTGATAATATTCCTAATATTTTCTTGAAGAATCTTCCTAAATGTGCCATTGAATACCTCTTAAAAATTTATAATGGCATCTGGGCCTCCCAATCCTTCCCTGAACAATGAAGAGAAGCTCTAGTAATTGCTGCACCGAAACCAGGCAAAGATCCATCTAAAACCAGAAACTTTAGACCATTATCATTGACATGTACTCTTTGCAAAATACTACAAATAATGGTTGGCAATCGCCTCAGATGGCTCCTAGAAACAAGAAACTTACTATCCCCCTTCCAAAATGGATTTCGACAACATAGATCAACCAATGACCATCTAATAAGCATCGACACACAAATTTGTGATGCATGCAATTGTTGTTTCGCTTGATATTGAGAAAGCTTACAAAATTATTATTAAACCCCGACTACTACGTAATCTTATCTCAATGAATATTAAAGGCAACTCACTAGCTTTTTTGAAAAATTTTAGGCAACATAAGTATCTGCATGTACGGATGTTTGATAAAAGTCAACATGCAGGGAAATGATGAATGGCCTCCCTTGGGGCTCAGTTATTAGCGTGCTCCTTTTTCTGATCACAATAAAGGAAATAAGTAATATTATAGAGGCACCAAATAAATTATTTCTCTTCGCTGATGATATTTCCATTCTATGCTGTGGCAAAGATCTCTGAGTAACGACTAAAATAATCCAAGAAACCTTAAACAAAATTCAAATATGGGCAAGTTCTTCAGGTTTCTCCATTTCAAGAACTAAATTGGAATTTATTATAACCTCTAGAAGCTCAAAACTTTTAAATGAAAATCCTGCCCTCTTTGTTGGAAACCATCAAATACGTCGTATAAACTCTTGTAAAATCATGGGCATGACCCTCGACCAGAAGCAGTCTTGGAAGAACCACATTTCTCAGCTAAAGTCTGAATGCAAAACCAGGCTGAACATACTGAAGATATTAGCATCTAAAAAGTGGGGAGCAGAGTGAAATGTTTAATAAATGCTTATCTTTCTATTATTCAAGCCAAATTAGATTATAGAGCTGTAATCTACAGTTCAGCAAACAAATCTACACTACAGACTCTAGACTCTATTATAAATTCAGCCTTTAAATCAAGCCCTTCCAACAGCCTTATTGTAGAAGCAGGACAACTCCCCCTCGACTTGCAGCGGAAACAACTATGTCTAAAAATTGGCTACTCAACTTTAAATTCCTGAACTAATCCTGCCTTCAAATATATCTTCAGCCCTTATAAAATAGATTACCATTCAATCCATGAGAAATATCCAAAACCACTTAGAGAAAGAATCCCAATTTATCAAGATGAATTTAATATGGAAACTCCTCACATTTTACAGAAAAGGATTCACCCCATCCCTCCTTGGCAATCCTTTAAACCTGATGTTAATACAATGACTACACAGATTCCAAAATCCTTAATCTCTCCAAAAATAGTTTCATCACAATCTGAATTCTCTTTATGAAGACTATCATGATTTAGAAAAAGTGTATACAGAGGGATAAAAATATGAAAACAAAGTTGATTGTGCAATTGTATCTACAACCCCGCTCAATACCTTTAAATTCAGGTTACCAGAATACTTTTCTAGCTTCTCTTGCGAAGCCTGTGCCATCCTGAAAGCCATTGAATTAGTCTCCCCAAATGGAAAAAACTGCAAAGTAGTAATTCACTCAGACTCTATGGCTACCTTAAATGCAATAGTCAACAGGTTTTCTAGAAATACGATAATTTAAAGAATCCAAGAACAGTTATTTACACAAGAAAACAATGGAACCTTCATCTCTATTGTTTGGGTTCCAGCACATAAAGGTATAGAAGGGAATGAAAAGGCAGTAAAGCGGCTACAGAAGCAACTTCATTACCAACAACGGACAAGACTGTGAAGGGAGTTCTCACCGATATTAAACTATATATTAAAAATATGGTTAAAAAACAGTGGAATGAAAAATGGCTGACAACCTTCTCCAAACTTCACCTCGTAAGGAAATCCGTTATTGAACCCGCCCTCCCGAAACTCCAACTCACTAGATTCCAACAAGCCCAAATTACCAGACTATGTATTGGCCACTTTAATCTCTCACACATTCACCTAATAACAAAAGCTGACCCAAAACCATGTCCTAAATATGGATCCCTAGTATCTACATCCCATATTATTCTGGAGTGCCCTGAACTAGCCCATATAAGACAGTCCTTAAATTCAAAAGATTCTCTTTATAATTCCTTCTCCTCTCCAGAAGAATGTATAAAAGTCTTACAACTTTTAAAAACATCAAAAATTGATACCTTAATATAAAGACACTCTTTTACCTATATCTCATATACAATAATCCTTCAAACACATAGTTAATATCAAAACTTGCAAAATGTAAATAAATAAATAAATATGTGTACCCATCCCAATTACGTAAGTACCTACATTATTAATACATTTTGACCATTTATATGCTTGTATGAATTGTATGTATTTGTATAATGGCATAACTGTAAAACATGTGTATTCTTGTGTAAATTATAAATTGATTCTCGTGGTCACTTATGACCCAGTTGTTGAAAAGCGACCTTAAATAAATAAATAAATAAATAAATTTAAAAAAATATTGAAATGAATAATTTAATCAACTTGCCCCATGATTGTGCTCTGGTACAACTGCTCTCAGGTACTCACCTATGCCATGCCAGTGAGCACTAGCTGCCCACTGGCGCTCCTGCACGCTGTTAGTGGGGGTGGGAGAGTCGCTGGCAGTGGATGAGGCTTCCGGCGAACGCGATGCTTTGAGTCCCACAGAGGAGGTTGGCGACAGCGAACGCCCATTTCGTGCTGGTGACTCGGCAGTGCCTCGCAAATCCACGGTGCTGCTGTCTGAGCCACTCACAATGTGTGGTGCTGTGTCCTTCTGTATCACCAACATATGTTTTATCAGATTCATTTATAGATAAAAGGTATAAATTGATATCAACTGCACTGAATATTGTTCCATTTTTGAAATCACTGAGAGAATTAAATGATATTATTCATAAACTTATTACAACTTCTAACCCATCTCTTCTAGGCGATTTTAGATTTAATGTTCCCACTAGAAGAAATACACAAACTCCTCTGTTATTTTATAATCCAGTTTATATCTCTGAATGTAAGAAAATAATCCTCGGACTAGAATGTGCAATTTGATAAACATAAATAATTTAGATATTACAGGCATATCAAAGGCATCTTTCGTCAGAGGTATGAAATTTGAAATGCTGAAATATGAATAAGCATAAACAATATTTAAAGGAATAGAATTGTTACTAGATATCCATCCTTATTTATTGTTATATTATTAGAAACAAGCTCATGTGAATTTTTCACATAAACTCACTCCCCCTGTGTGTTTGTGCATGTGTGCTTGTGCTTGTGCGTGTGTGTGCGCATGCATGTGTGTGTGTGCCTACGATTGTTTAAGAGTTTCGGACTCCTTCATTCTCAGCCCATCTTTCCCTCACAGTGAATTAAAATTCTTTAAATGCATTTACACTTGGAAAGAATGCAACAATAACAGCATAATCAGAGCATTGTTATAATGTTTAAAATAATCATTCAAATTAAACTAAGCTAACTTATCTAATAAAGCTCTTAAAAGGCATGTTCAAAATGAGAATTGAAAATAATTTCTACCTTATTTTGTCTCTGATCAAAGATAACTCAGATGGTTAGCTAATAAGAAACTTTTATGCAGCTGCTTCAACTCCCAATGGCCTACCTGCGGAGTGGGTGTGCGATCTGTGTCACTCAGTTGAATGAGGTCCGGGCTGCCCAGACGCCTACTGACGTGCTGCAGTTCCCACTTTCCTGCACAGGTTCACAATAATCATTAATACATAAGACTTAAGATATCATCTCAATTATGAAATGTGGAAAAACACTATTTGTCAGAATCCAGGAAGAGAAAGTACAAGGATTTTAAATTATTTGTAAACGTATGTATATATGGAGCAATATACACACAATATAGACAAAGTGACATACTCATGCGACGACAAAAAAACGCCGTTTTCCGGCGCACAATTACCATACTTTCTTTTCTTAAGTTAGTAAATGCGAGAAAGTAAAAACGGCGACTTTTCGACAGAAAAATTCGAATTGTGGAGCGCTTATACAGAAAAGGTGGATAAATCTTATTTCAGTTTGTATTCAATTACTACCCCTAATACATTGTGTATCTAATACATACATACATCAGAATCCACATTTCGCGGGTCCTTGATACCAAAAAATTGGCTTACGGCAAAACGTCCGTCTGTCTGTCAACAACACTAGACACAAACTATCCATAGGATTTTTTTCAAAATGAATAGTCCCAGGGCGATCTTGGCTACCTCGAAGCTCTGCGATTTTCACTTTCCCGTACTTATTTCGTTAGAAGAGAAAGTATGTGCGAGGGAAAACGGCGAATTTTCGGCAGAAAAGGTTAACTCTATTGCCGGACCCTGGTAACGAAAAAAATGGGTAAATCAGGTTCCTATATAGTAAATTACTTCATCTAACACGTGATGTACCCAGAATTTATGTTTTGTGGGTCCTTGATACTGAAAAATCTATACATGGCTAAAACCCCGTGTCTGTGTCTCCGTCCGTCTGGGGGTCAACGCTAACGCTACCGTTCAGTCGAGTTTCTTCAAAACTGGTCTCTCGTGTTAATATTTACATTTTCGTTAATATTTACATTTTGGGCACTTCGTATACATTGTGTTTGTGAAAAAAAAGTGAAATGATTCCTAATGAAGTTTATCGACAACTCGAAAGTTTGGAGTGAAAATTGCGTCTTTTCAAAAATGCTTATACATTATCTTGAAAACGGCATATAGGGTCAACTAACTTTCTATAACATTCTTAAAGTCATATTTCAATTTCACTATTAAGTATGTGAGAAATCTAAGAAAAGTGAAAAAAATTGTTTTAGGTGCCAATAGATGGCATCAAATGGCAACAAATATGGACTGACTATCAATAAGGCCAAAACTAAGGTAATGATAGTGGATAAAGGAAAAGTTCTCCCACCATCAAACGCATTAATAGATTATGAAAAAGTGACAGGATTTATTTACCTTGGCTCCCTAGTTCAGGCCGATGGAGGATCATCTAAAGAAATAAGAAGACGAATTGCTCTAGGAAGACAGGCAGTGAGTAGGCTTACCCCAATTTGGAAAGATAACCACATATTCCGAAATAGCAAACTAAGAATACTTGAGACTTTAGCCTTCTCTGTGATGTTATATGGAGCAGAAACCTGGACTGTTAAGACAACAGATATAAAAAGAATTAATGCCTTTGAAATGTGGGCCTACCGGCGACTGTTGAGAGTATCATTGACAGAAAGAGAGACTAACCTCTCAATCATAAATAGACTAAACATTCAACAGCGATTGGCTGACATTTGCAAGCAAAAGATATTGAGATTCCTGGGATACACAGTACGAAGGAATGGAATATGGCTTGAGAAACGGATAGTCCAAGGTAAAGTAGAAGGAAAAAGAGGCCGAGGAAGAACAGCCATGAGATGGATAGACCAATGTAAAACATTCACTGGTATGAGCCTGGAAGAGGCAATGCAGAAGGCAGAGAACAGAGAAGAATGGAAATGTGGGAGCCATCTAGATGGGTCACCTAACTTCCGTCTGTGGAAGATCAGGACCAAAGAAGAAGTGATCAGACTGAAAAGCTAAGGAAATTAACTAGTACGAGAAAGTCTGTGCCATTGTCACAACATTAAGTTCATTTTTAATCAGGCTCGTATCTTCTTTACACACTACTTGAAAATCTCTTGGGTCCCAAATTATAATTGTGAATATTTTCCTAGCTGTTAAATTGGCCCGGGAGGTCCTAGGGTCAGCGTCCTGGCGGTGGCAGGATTTTCGAAAGTAGCTTCATAGCAAGGTGCCGGCTGCTCTGATCGGGGGTTTCCCGTGCTTTCTCCCACCAGGCGACTGCCCGAGCAGTACCTTAACAAACGGGCCAGGCACCGCTCGCAATACTGCCCTAACCTCACCCCTTCCTTGAATTTACGCTTATATCAACCGCACCACCACAAATGCCGTTCTTTGCTGCCGGAGCAGTGCTCCAACAATTGGGGGCACGGACCACGCGCCATATTTCCTTATCCCATCATCACCCCTCACACACACAAACACACTTATGTACATGCGCTACACTAGCACAGTTGTCGGGACATTATATCCAACACTCACCATGCTCAATACATCAGATTACTACAAATTTCGCCAACTGGTAGAACACCATGCAAAACACACATTTACAAGAGCTGTCGAGACTTGCAAATAGTATGTGCGATGCGTTTTGTAATCCAGACCCTCCGAGACCTGCGCGCCTTCCGTCTATCAGCCGGTGTCAGATTTCTCTCATAACATGGCTCCGGCCATATGCGTGCGTCTCTTTTGAGTTTGAAGTGCACAGTGACAAGCGTTCCTATCAATTCTACCGAAGTCAGTTGTACGGATTTAGTAAACAATTGTCATTTTTACGAAAATTACTTTATGACATTCTGTGCATACACTCATGTTTTGACACTTTCTTATTACGCCCGTTATTATTTACTTATATTTTATTAAATATTTAATATGTTTATTGTGAAAATTTTGTTTCTAACGCCAAAGGGAAATGTGTGTATTGATCATAAACCGAGATAACATTTTCAGTATCTTCGAAACACCGGCATGAGGATTATAAAGCATGAGTACGTTCTTCTCGTCTTTCCGAATCTGCCACCCTGCCAACAGATAAGCTGATCGGCTGAGCAGCAAACAGTAACGCGGCACGCGGCGATCTCCGCGCTTCGGCAGCGGCAGGCCATCATAGGTCTACATAGCCATTATTCATTGTCGCCCAAACACTACTTGCAACGCGTCAGAGCATTTTAAAATGTTTTTTATGAGTTTTGAAAAGTTCTGAACAAGGTGGTAAAACTTCTTGCCGATCAGAGTACGCACCACGGCGAGTGTTCAGTGTCAGAGCTTGTCCCGACTAGGGCGGTTCCCCCGCTGATGGTAAGATACCTGGTTGGGGAAAACTCAGCTAGGCGACGTGAAGTCGGCGCCAGATCTCGCCATCCGGGGGAAGGGTCGCCGTCACCTCCCAAGGAAGACCATGCACTACACTTACGGGCCTTGGCATTTGACGCGCCCGAAAACACGAAATAATCACTTAAATGAAAAGTCCAATTATTATGACCATCGATTGAGTGGCATCATCCAAATTACGCAATGGGCAGCAATCCAACAATACTTTTTCATTACCAGAAAATGTTCGGGGAAATTATTGTTTCCATCTTCAGGGTTGGCACACGCCATGATTAGGGGTCAACCACACATTACGCGAGGGAGCGGGTTTGAGGCAGCATTAAGTTGCATTACATTGGGGGCGGGGTTAGTGTTACGTATCATTGATTTTTTTAAACTTTTTTAAACATTGGTTGAAATACTTCCTTTTTTGAGTTGTTTTGCTGGATACAGAAGCTAGGTTATTTTTATTCTTTTTTATTGTTTATACAGACAAATACCCAATTACATTTTTTCAATATTAAAACCACAAACAAGAAATATCAACGACACTCCCGAGACTATTAGGCCCTTAACGACAGTTTTGGGTGTAACATGCCCAAATATAATTGTTTTTAATTTCATCTCAATATTTTTATTAACAAATAATAAATAAAAAGTTCTAGATTTGGAATCCAGAGGGATCACTATTAAATAGTGAAATGAAAGTGACACATTTGCAATAGAGGAAAAAGATGCTTATTAACAACGCAAGAAACTTCAACAGTTTTACAAAACAAGGAGGCAAGAAAGCAACGACCCACTAATTGTGATTGATTGATTGATTCTGGGTACATCAACTGCTAGGGTCATTAATCCTGTTAGTGAAGTGAATGCTTTATACTGTGGTGCCGGTGTTTCTCCTCCTCCACGTCTGTATAGTGAGATCCAGTGCCAACCTACACATCCACTTGCAGGGTATATATCCCTCTAGGTATCTCCTCCCACAACAGGGTATTGTTCCAGTTGGGATAAGCAGTCAGCTCCCAACTGGTCTTCTGCACATTGATAGAAACATATGCATTCCTTTTGTGAAAAATCTTCACATAGGTTCTCTAAGAACAATTTACAGAATGGGTGCTCCATCAAAATTCCCACAATTGGGAAACCAGCTTTCCCATTAAGCTGGAAAGCAGTTTACCATTTCAGGTTTTAATAGTATCTTTATATTATTTTTGATTTGACATTGACACTTTACGCACACTGGCACACAGATGATTGGATTAAACTGGAGAACTCTGTGTTTACTATCTGAATGTTTCATATTGCAGAATCAACAATTCAATATCATAAAAAGATCGTATAATTCTTCAGATGCAATGAAAATATGTAGAAAACAACCCTGAAAAGTGCAATTACATAAAATCTTAATGCAACACGAACTTCGGAATGAGCAGATCAAATAACTTCTTTCAATAGAAAGAAATCACTTTCAGAATTGTTAAACATTGTACACGTCCAACATATGACTCATGTTTTCGATATACTACCTTTTTGTCAAAAACACTAAATGTTGAGTTTGAAACTCAAAATATTCAGTTAATTCATCACAGTTTTTCCCAACAGTAAATAATACTACAAAATCTGATAATACCGGGCTGACATTAACAATTTTACAACAAACTGAGCACTACCAGAGAAAATAACGAAAAGAGGTGAGGCACGAAAATAAGCAGGCAGCCCTTTTATTCAGGAACAAGTGGGCATTCATTTAAAAATCAGGACTGTTTATAAACAAGATGTAAGCACTTTAAGTTAATATCTTAGGGTATACTCACAGAAAGTGCTTACTATGAATTTAGCCCTGAGGTATTTTTATAAATGTAATCAGTTTAATACTTAAAATACAAAGTAAACAAGACCAAAGTGCACAAAAAAAAAAAAACTAGAACAAAGCGAAAGATCTGTTAAAAGAATTTCAATTGCAATTTTTTCAAGCAATGAATGATGCAGGAACACATTAATATATTTAATATATTGCAAAAACAGTACTACACCACTTTCAAGAGTTGTCATTTGTCCTCTAATAAGTTACAGATACAATCCAATAGCATCGCAATTGAATATTTCATTACAAATACAAAATAAAGATTAACTTTGATGAGTATTAAAAAAGCAACAAAACTAGTGAATATGATTAGTCGCAGATCACTAGGTAGGATGTAAAGAACAATGACACTCATCACAGCCTCCCAATCAGGAAATGTTGCTTCAAATCAGACCATAAGAGGAATTTTGTAATACAGAAGACAGTGACAAACCACATTTCCATGGGTTCATTGCCCTGTCAATTAGAAACTACCCAGGACAAAAGCATTCAAATAGAAGTGCTTCCACAAATTCACTGATTTGCCCCTCCCCCCACCCTTTGACATTCAAGAATATGATGAAACACAGAAGAGAACACGGCATTCACGAACGTCATTCGTATATCTTGTCTTACACACAATTTAACATGGAAGTTCATTATCACATTTACGTATATTAATGCTCTAAGATGAGGTTTAGATTAATATGATTCATGACAATCTACAACGGTTAGATTTTCAGACAACAAATTCGACAAACCATGAGACCTCTAAGAAGGGCAGTAGCCAAAATAAATTTCTCTAAAATGTCATGATGCCATTCCATTATTTATCTCCAAAGAATAAAATTCAATAGAAGTTCAATAGATGGGATGGGCACATGAAGCAAACATATACAAACAGTTCTACAGAGGAGTTACTTTAAGAAAGGACTGCTTTGACAGAAACACATAAACATCACGCAGGGTGATGACATTGCAAGATAGGGATGAAGTCATTTGCAAATGAGCAAACTCTAAACGAACACACTGATAAAATTAGAGCATGGGCATAACTTGCCATATATTGTTAGCAGCAGCCAAGTAGAAGTTGTCAAAGTGGTCTCTTCTTATAGTAATTTCTCTACACGAAGAGCTGTTGTGGTAGAGAAAATTTCCTACAGTCTCGTACACTGAACAAACAAGTGAACTCACCAGCAGATGTGGGCCAGCTGAGCCGAGGTAGAGGAGCGTCCAGGTCAGTGCGCAGAGGCAGGCCAGCCTGATAGGCAGCGATCAGCTTCAGTGCAGAGTAGAACTGTCTCCGACCCAGGTGGCTGCTGCGACCACCACACAGCTCTGTGATCTGTCCAAAAATTTCACACTTACATATTTGTAAACATTTTATAAAAAAATACACAACAATGGTTTTATTTTGGTGGCAAAAATTCTTAAGAAACCTATTCCACTGGAACTGAAATAGGTTTCTGACAATCCTCAACAATTTGAAGAGAGTAGAACACATTTTCAATACTTAATTATTCTGCTAGCGACAGAGAGAGACAGAGAGAGAGACAGACAGAGAGAGAGAGTGAGAGAGAGTGAGAGTGAGAGTGAGAGAGATTTTTATTGATGAACAATAAAGGCTGTGTATAAATCATTCCAGGACACCAGTTATACTTTGATTTAAACACAGTCCTTTGACATAAATCCCTCATGCTGACATTACATGGTCAGCACATCAGGAGCTTAAATGTCACTAGAGATGTTTAAGCTCCTGATTAGATAACAGCTTATAACCAGTCAGAAGACACTATAAATAAATTGAAGTATACACACAAAACTGAAATATTAAGTAAAAATAATCATCAGGATCTCTTCCCTTCCCCGCCATTAACTGCCTCTGACTCGTGAAAACAAATAAGAGTCAACTTTCTTATCTCTACCTTCCGATGCCACTGTGGAAAAAACTTCGAACATCTACAAAATTAATTTGCTTGCACTAGAATATCAGTGTCATCTTTCGCCACTTAATACAATCAGAAATGACATTAAACCAGAAAGAAAAAATCAAAGTGCCAGTTCAATAATGAAAATCACAATTGTCAATTAGTAAACAATAATTCCAAGTATATCATCTTTCCTTCTGAAATTAATACTATATCTCAATGAATGAATTAACTAAAATACTGGTGAAACAAACATTAACTATACAAACAGCAATGGCGCAGAGGGAGGGGAACTCGTGGGGCTTCAGACTCCCTGAAAGCCATGACATATTCAAAAATATAATTTTTACTAATCCTCTAGAGTAACAAAAATCATTCAATTGAATGCGTTATAAATAACAAAAAATTCAAACTATACAAATTTTAAAATTCAGCATACATGAAAAATTCTTCTAAGGAAGATCCTTGGGTTTGGATTCTGAGGCCTAATATTCGGCCTGCAATGCGGGTGATTCTAGGTGAAATGGGGCATATTTTTAGGGAACATTTTTATTATTTAAGGCACGAATACTACTTGTGTTTGCTATACACTTTCATAAAGGAGGTCTGGGTAAAAGTTTTACGAGCAGGCACTTATTTCATTACGCTCCTGCTGTGCACGAATAAATACTCTGGTATTTCACCTGCCAACTTCATAAAGAGTCATCTTTAGAGCTAGAATTATACTCATTGTAACTAGAATATGTTACATAATGTTTACAAGAACAGAACATAAATGTAACTTCTAATTAACTTCTCCCCACGTCACACACATTTTTAAATGTAAATAAATAAATAAAATTGCAAAAGGCACAACTGATAATAAATATAACCAACACCAGATGATGTGCATATTTCACTTGAAAAAATAAAAAAATTACAGGTTCTAAAAATATACACACCTGTAATTGTACTATTTGTCATAGAAGTTGAAACTATATTCGCAACACACAAAACACTCATCACTAAACACATTGCCATTATGAGGGACAATTCATATAATTATATTGTTATATATTTTGTAAGATAGATTGTCATTATGTATTAATATTTGACATAGGGGTAAGCTTCAAAAAGAATAGTAGTGACAATCACCTTCCGGGAATGATATTTATTAATTATTTAAGAATACAGCATTTCTGAGATCTTTTGTCTCCTTCTTCAGACAAAACTTCATAACTATGAATCTTAATGAAGAAAGACAAATATTGATATCGTCACCACCTGTAGTATAATTATAACCCTCAAGATGCTCTGAGCGTAATTGAAAAGTTGGCAGTAGAAACACTGAGTACTAATTCATTTATTGGACCCAAACTACATACAGGCCAAATTCTTTAAAAGAAATCATCAAATTGATATTATTGGTCCCATACAAAATTCTTGGTTATGCCATTGATGTCAGTCAACAAATAATTTGCATGCATGTTAGACCTTCCGCTTACAATTATTTTAATCCAACTACAAAACACATGCATACTAGCTAATATATTTGAACTTAAAGTTATTAGAAAGAAAATCGGGTACACAAAGCTGAAAATAATCAAATTAACATTTTGTTCATTTCACAAATCTCAACCACACTATTAAGGTACTACTTAAGGTAAGTTGCAAAATCTCAGTACCAGTAAATTATTAATTCAGATTTCAAATAAAATTTGAAACCACATGCGGTGTAAATTAGTTTTAGAGATAACACAAAATTATCATGCTAAGTAAAAAATTAATTCGAATCCCAAGTAAGCATGACAAATAATTTTGGCATACTTTAAAGAACCAAATATCATTTCACATTATATATCGTTAAAAATACAGTAATAGTTTTACAAAAAATATAATTGACGCAATGAGAGAAAAAACAAATTATACATTACAATCCAAAGATTAATTCAGACTCGCGATACGGCAACGAGGGTACGTTTTTATTCTCTGCGCAAAATCTGAGAAGTAAATCGAACACCCCAGTGGTATACCTTTTTTTGCATTTACATAGGAGATTCAATTAAATGTACAAGTGTCACTGGACAAGTTGGGCATCACTAGGGGGCCATACCTGCTTTAACACGTCAAGAGGTAGATTGGCAGATCTAAACAATTCCGAGGCTTTGTAGACAGGTACTTTTCCCGTCTTATCAGAATCGCAGCACGTAAATAAGTCGCCGAAATAACGCTGTTCAGTTTCACTTAGTTGTATCTCTTCCATTTTACCTTACTTCAAGTTTAGAATGGCAAAACGAAAACGCACAGAAAAATGTTAGTCAAGCATCCAGCCATTAAGTTCCCATTGGCATTACTTCATATTATGAATTTAGGATATACATGATCAAGAAATTCTTCGGCGCCGGCAGGTTCTCCACCGAGAAGACTGATATGTCTCCTACCAGAATACGGCTGACGCCATGTTTATTATTGACTTACTGCACGACTTTTGGCATTTCTATGCGATATCAGAGTGAAATTACTTTGTGTATAATGTTCCGTGCTGCACGTTCTTTGAGGCAATAAGGAATAAAGCAAAAACGCCAAAGATGCAACGTTGTCAAAAATTGATCTCTCATTAACCTTCCACTAATCTGATTTTCTACACAGGCAGCGCGAAAGCGTTCTGCTCATGAACACGTTTGATCTCTATACATTACTCACGGTGAAAGAAATCTTTTACACCGTGATATTACTTGATTGACAGCGCAAGTGTCCTGCTCGTGGTCGCCATATTGAATACTTTGTAGATTCACGGCCAAAATTCTAGCGGGCAATTTAAAATATGAATTAGTGCGTAAAAGTTTTAAACATTTTGCGTATTAACTATAAATATTGTAGACTTACTTTACTTGTTTTACATTCGTGTATTTCTTAATATTAATTTATCAGCCACACATCACCCAACTTTGTCTCAAGAGAAAAAGAACAAGGCATACCAACATCATATAAGATATGTATTTGTTCCTAGATAGCAGAATACATCGTAACAGATTTGGAACAAATGCACAAACACTAAACACAATAAATTGTAGACACATTGGATTCATATTATTCAAGATCAAAGATCATTCATTTTAAATATAAGACATTGTATACAAATATATTGTTTCCAAATATCAAAATAATTTTTTTTAATATCACTTTAACATTTGAATAAGTCCATGTTCATGTTACATACAAATGTAACAAAATCACCCAAAGGTAATATTAAGATATATAATTCAGCAAAATGGTTAAATATTCTGAAGTAAACAAAGAACAAAATTTATATTCATTTATATTTAATTCATAAAGAAGTAATTTGACTGTCCTTTGCTTCATACAAAGGAAAATAGTGCACATCAATGCTGTTGTGAATATAAAATTTGTCCTCTAGGCCATGCTGCCAGTATATTCCCAATAAAGTACATCACAAAGTAAAAAGATATACAGTTTTTCTCGAATTCATACAATCACACGAATACTATCAAAGAAAAAAATGACACTCATCACAGAAAAAACAGTTAATATTTTCTTTCTTGTTCCTATGACCTCATAACTCTTTTTTTTGCTACCAATATTTCCATGCTTCATTTCATGAAACTCACAGACAGAAAAATCAACTACGAAAACAAAAGCCAACAGACAATGACTCAGTGGTTTCCCGATTGGATAGTTGAGGATTGATGAGTGATGGAGGAGGACTTATTCATTGGTTATAAAATTATTAATTTCTCATAAACTAGATTCATAACTCATTTTGCTCTGGAGCTTCCAATATCATAGCTACACCACTGCTTATAGAAGCAGTATCAGTCACATCTTTCATCTTTAAAGGACCAAGATTATGCAACAAAAAAATACAATCACACATTAAACACAATTTCTAGAAGTCATAAGAGAAAACATTATTCCGAATAAAATTTTTCTATCCCTTCCTATATAATTTAACCACATAACATTACTGAAAAAAAAGTACACCTTTTTTTCTATATTAGATTGTAATTGTAAATATTGCTTCTGATATTACATAGGTAAGTCCTCCACTTCAACATATAAAAGAAATAACACCAAACAAAAAATCTTTACCCGAGCTTCATGTCTAGAAAGGTTAAAAAAATGTACAGTAGGTGCGCAAGTGTTTTTTATTAGACAAGCACTGAATACAGTACTCCCTTGAGAGACTGAAGAACTTCATTTCAAAATTCCAGAAATGAAAAAGTTTCTAAAAGAGCATTTCATTTCAAGAGGCATTTTGAAAATAGCCTCAAGCCAATCCAATAGATTTCCTTCCTTAATTCAAGTAGCAGAAATGAAGATGTGAATTTGCTGTAGACATCCCTTTTTTCACCCTATCCCAGCTTTTTTATTGTTTAAAGAAAGCACATCATCCCCAGTGTTCAATTGCAATGACAACCACAATAATCTGTCTTTTTGTTGCACATCACGTTTTCTTATTCAAATCCTTCAAAACCACATAGAAAACCTACCAAAAAGCATTCTGAGATTCAAAGAGTTTATAACAATTTTACATTAAAACAATATACATATTACAATAAAGATAATTCATTCTCATTTAGACATTAAATGATACAGGTAAAAAGTTTTAATCTCCTCTGAAATATTTTTCAAGATCAACAGCAATTTTTACGCAGGCACATACGATGAAAACCTTTCCAAAGAAAATAACAATTAATCTATTAACACCCTACAATCCATATTATCATCAGTATTCTGTATATTCAACTTTTCATTCCACCAAGAGAAGCATATAGGAAAAAGCTCCATCACTCGTCATTAATCAAATAAACTATAGATATGATAAGTGGTCAATAGTCACTACAGCTAAAAATGTATCAGATTCTTTACTGCACAGGGTATAAACATAGCTTATGTTTGTTGAATTTCAATAATGATTCATTCTGAATTTTATTTTAGTAGTCAAGACAAATTGTAAAAAGAATGCTGTCCCACTCAATATACAGGTTAAATACAAATTGTAAAAAGAATCAAAAACAATCAAGCACTGCATAATAAATATATTTCACGCTTAATGATAGCATAAAAATTTCATCTCAAGAAAGCAGAGACAAAAACTAGTTCTCTCTTGTTTTAGGATCCAATTTTAAGATGCAATTAAATTGAGTTCCTGAAATTTGAAAAAAGAAGACAAAACAAACAGCCAAAAATTAAACTTCATTTTGTGTCATAACCACAAAAACAATGGCAATATAAAATTTTTGAATAGTCAATTTAGAATGTTTTATTCAATGATTGTATGAGTCCTTGCTACATTTACACCTACGGAAAAGCCTTTGTATACTACAATCGAAAACAGCTGCATCTTTTGTTGTAAACACCCAAATGCATAACCGAAGCTTCCCACCTCTCCTCTTCCAAGGAGTAACTTGCCACTAGAGCCAGAAAAAGAACCTCAAAGGGCACAAATAAATCCAGATCTACTCTGCAGGTAGCAATTTCACACTTCATCAAAGACCAACCACAACTGACCTGTCACTTGAGCTACTAATTCTCCACACAGACTATCCGTCCACACAATTCCACAGACTAGTCTGCCACACAATTTGAACTACAGGCCAATTCTATGAGATTCAAAAGTGATTTATGAATCTCAGTCATCTGAAATTGAAACGCAATCAATCTCACAGGATATCACACAACATATAGACATTCTCTATAATATAACAGAAGTATTAAGAAGACCAATGAATTTCCTTCTCAGGTATTGCAAAGTGATAATCAGATACAATGTTTGTCTGAGAATGTTATTTATAAGAATAAACAAAACAATGGAACATAAACAAAAACAATTATAGTACATGAAAAGATAAGAAACAGATTATTTTCTCTCAACCTATCTTTCTTGCTAACTGCCATACAAAAAATTAGTCTACACTTCTCAATGACTTAACACCACACATGAGCACAGCCATCACCTTGGCTGATCACTCTTGGGCAAGGCTCAGTCCTCTGCTCGCCACTTGTCCTGTGCCTCGCGCCGCACATCAGGTGCTAGTTGTGAGCGCATGCCCCCTAGCACATTGGCTGTGGCCTCTGTCGCCATCAGGATAGGCTTCAAAGCAGTGGGTGGGATCTGACGCAATACACCCCCTACAGCCCCCGACATGCCCTTCAGCTCATGCTCTTCACTGGCAGCGCGCACCAGAGCCTGCGCTGTCTCCCCCAGTCCTTCACGCACAACCGCCAGGGCATTGGCAACTCCTTCACGCAAGTCAGCAGGCTGCGCAAGGCGGCGGCGGCGTCGCCCTTTCTGCCCTCGACCAGCACGCAGGCAGCGCACACTCGGCCCAGGGGACACCATGTCGTAGGCCAGCTCTGCAGTTGCTTGAATTGCCTAAAACGATCACACTTAGAAATAAATTTCAATTTTACTTATTCACAAATGTAATTATCGATGATTTCAATATCATCAATGATCAACAACAGTTTTTACCTATTTTGGAGGAGTAGCCAAGTGAACAAATAATTCAGATAAACAATTCATCATTTCATAAATTGATCAGTTGCAGTTTTGTTTTACAGAGTTTGCAAAACTTTGGAAAACAAATTTGTCAGACTTCTACTAGTTTTCGAACATTTATTTTCCTCCACTATATTGTAATTAATTCAAAGAAATTTGAAACACATTTCATTACGGCGACAATGATTATTTTTTAGAAAAGAAGAAGAGGAAGGAGAAGAAGGAGAAGGAGAGAAAGAAAGAGGAGGAGGAGGAGGAGGAGGA